AAGAATTGTGTGACTGTGTGGACATTCAGCAACAGGAATTATTTCAGAGACAGAACAACAGAACAACTTATTTTCAAGTGATTTAACCAAGTCTGCAGAAGGGTGTCTGGTCTGGGTTGACTAAGAGCATTTCTATAATTGCCCTATATTGTATCTTCATGTTTCTAACTTGTTAGAAACTTGTGGGTACCTGACTTCCTTTTTCTAATTGTCTTTGAGAAGTAGAGATGTGAAGTTCTTGTTAGTCATTGAGTATCTGCAGACTCTTTGGAACTGTACTAGGAGAGGACAGAAAAAATTCATCTCACGCCTTTTTCCTTGTTGCTTGGTGTTTAATGTAGACAGTAACCAGCAAAATCATCCACCCCATGAGCTAAATATAGCTGGGATTCAAAACATCATTAATGAAGGCATTCCTATCTGGCATGAAGGCTGATATTAGAATAAGCTTCAGGTAACAACTCTGCCATTTGTGACTGAGTATCGAAATTGCATCTCTTCCTTGTAGTTCTTGCTTTATATCCTAACTTTCAAGTCCTATTTAAAAATATTTGAAGAGAAAGAAAGTGACAAAACAGGATAGGTGGGCGGGTGATGAGTTAGTAATTTTAAGCAGTGACTACTAATGATTCTAAACTGTGAAACTATGTCACTTTCAGACAAGAAGAGATCTAGAAGCTGCTGTTTGAAGTGTGTCTTAGCAGAGAGGAGAAAGATCATGGCTGTGACAGACACAGTCCAATATGGCTGCCACCCGGAGGAAATCTGCTTCCTTCTCTATAGTGTGCCCTGAACTCGGTGAGGAAGGTGGTGATTATTTGGCTGCTTCTCAGTATAATACCTCCCCTCCCAAATTATCAAAAGGGAGAGGCTTAGGACTATTTTTAGCAACATGAACTATAATGTAAAAAATAATGAGGACCCAGGCTGTTGAAAGGCTGTTTTCAATTTCAGTTAACACCTGGGCATGCTTGGTTATAGCACAGCTGCCAAAGGCAAACTTCTCACTTGGAACCCCAGCATTCCAGATTTCACAGTTGGTCTTAGGGCTTCAAAACTGTTAACGCCTCTACAGTCCTTGTAAAACCACAGATAGCAGCTGTCTGCCTGCCAGGGTTGGCTCTCTGGTAAAAAGAGTTGAATTCTTTCATGCTAGATCTTTGATGGAGTAATTTGAGAAAACGGATCTAGAAGAAAAACTATTAGGAAGGATTCACTCTTCACTCACATTTTACTGAGTCAAAAGTTTTCTTTCTGTATTCAAACTTTGACTATGAAATATAGGAAGGGAGCTGTCTCAGTGCTTTATTGAATACACTGGCTCTTCAGAATAGCAGGGAACCAGACACTGACGTTCAAAGAGGCTACTGTGTGCCATGCGTTGCTTCACGGACTCTTCAACTTGCAAGGAGCACATTCAATGGACAATCATTGAGTCCCCCTGTTTTGGAGTAGATTCCAACTAGAATTGCTCATGCAGGGTAAGGGAGGAATCATGTGTTTAACAATTTTCTTCATTTTAGTAACTCAACTACAGATTTTAATTTCTGGCTGTGAGCTTCATTCTGCTAGGCTAGTGGAAAGAAATCTTAACCTCAGTCCTGACTGGGGTTTTCCCACATCTCCCCAGGATTGTGTCACACTTCTCTGGATCTTGTGCAATGTTAAGACCCTGGGGGTAGGGTTCTGTCAGGTGCCCCTACACCTGTCCACTGCTATCTTTCCATATTTTTGGCCTTTCAGGAATGCTGATTCTCAGTCACTTCCCCAGCTTGGGGAAGATGAATTTGGAGTGAGGCATCTCTGGCCCCACAGGTCTTTGTGTGCCCTAAAGCCAATTTCCTTTCTCCTCTGAGGGCTTGCTGCCTTTCAGATAGTGGTACTAGGACTGAGGCACAGGTCTTCTCTGTCTCTCGTCCCAGCTCTCTTCTCCCTGGCACCTGGGACAGTCTTTAGGGGCTATTTGGGTTTCTTTGAAACTTCCCTTATCCTAAGGACTTTTGTTAAGTAAAGGTAAAAAAGGCTCTTGGGGGATAGTTTTGTCTTTTTCTCAAACATGTTCTGCCTTCAAGACGATGAAGGCAGAGGCAAATTATGGGAACATGGGATTGGGACTGTCTGAGAGAAGGGAAACAGAGTAATACTAGGAGGGAAAAACTGATTATTTCAAACTAGTATTCTTCAACATCCCCATGGATGTGAATTTACATATTCATCAAAATGCCAGCAATATGAGGGAGCAAAGATAATCAGGAAGAAAGAAGACTCTAATTGATACTCAGGAATTGAGATGGACTCTGGTATTTCAAGACATAATTGCATTCTCAGCGATGCCTGTTTCAATTTGGATGCCATACAAGTGAGCAGTTCTTAAAAATGACTGGTTAAGATTGGATGGCTCTGTAGTACTATGGGTAATGTTCAAATGACTTGTAGAACAATTGGGCAGGAGGAAACACTTAAGTAGTAGGAAGTAAGTAAGTAGTAGGAAGAAAGAAAATTTTTCTCTAAAAGAATTTCTTCTTTCACTTTGTAAAGATAGAGCCACTGTCAAGGACATTAGTACCAGGAAAAGACTGCTGGAGAGCAGTGCAGGCTTCCATCCTCTAAATTTTTAAAGGATGAAAAAGCTGAAAGTTTTGTCCCAAATTGTCTACTCCATAGCAAGAATGGAAACGAATCCATCGTTGGGGTCTCTGTCCATGGTACTCTCCAGGATGTTGTATATACTACACATATAATTAGCAATTTGGTTATTTTAAGAATAAGGGGAAACGGAAAAAGAACATCTCCATTAGTGTCAGTAAAACACTATTTTAATGGGTTTCAAAGACAAAACTCTTTGTCAGTGTAACTGGGCCTAGGCAGTTTATTTCCAGGAACTGAAGATGTCATCTAAGGATTTGGATTGCACAGAGTGAATCACCATAATGTTCTCAGAATCAGAAGCCCAGGCCAGCTGCATGGCCAGATGGCCCAGTGGCCTCATGGGTCTTATCCGGCTGGCCTGAGAGAATCAGAAGCAAAGCAGGGAGGGAGGGAGGAATAGAAATAGAGAGAGAGAGAGAGAGAGGGAGAGAGAGAGAGAGAGAAATTACAGCCAGTGGCTGCTGCAACTCCAGCTGTTGGTCCAGTTCCAGATATGAGTATAATGATAGTCTGGCTACAGAAAGAGTAACACATATTCTGGCCAGGGGGACGCGCCAAGGATCTGATGGTTTACTGCAGGACATGTGTGTTATATCAGGGGCTTCCAGAAGACAAGTGATGCTCAGTATTATTTGAAAGGACATATTTTGCGATTTTTTTAAAATGACTTTGCTACTCAAAATGTGGCTTAAGGACCAGCAGCATTGGTGTCATTTGCAGGAGAATAGAAATTAAAGTTAAAATTAAAAACATAATCACTTAGATTTTGTATTTTAACAAGACTCCTGGATGCATTTTAAGATAAAAAGCATGACAGAAAACAGTATTAGACTGCAGTACTGGTTTGACAGGATTGCAAAGAAACCCTGACAGTGGGCTAGGGTAGGAAGAACAGAGACAAGACCTGGGTTCTACCAGTTCTGCCACTTCCCCCTGTTTGACCCTGGGGAAAATCACTCCATCTCTTACGGTGTTGATTTTCTCATCTTTAAAATGGGAAAAATAACATCTGATGTACATCAGGAAGGCACTTTTCAACTGTAACAGGATGAAAAGGACTGTAGTTATTCAGATCTACCTAAAATGGAATTTGGACTTTTTCTGAGTTTTGAAATAAGTCATTGAACCATTCTAAGTCAAATATAAAGAAGATGTATGTAAGAGGCAAGAGCAGGAAACATCACTAAGCCACTTCCCTCAGACACGGCCATAGAATTCTGACTATAAAAATGGATTTCAGGGGCCGGGCACTGTGTCATAGCCGGTAAAGCCACCGCCTGCAGTGTCAGCATCCCACTTGGGTGCTGGTTTGAGTCCTGGCTGCTCCACTTCTGATCCAACTCTCTGCTATGGCGTGGGAAAGCAGTGGAGGATGGCCCAAGTGCTTGGGCCCCTGTACCCATGTGGGAGACCCAGAAGAAGCTCCTGGCTCCTGGCTTCAGTTCTGCCCAGCTCTGGCCACTGCGGCCATTTGGGGGTGTGAATCAGGGATGGAAGACACCTCTCTCTCTCTCTGTGCCTCTGCCGCTCCCTCTCTTTTAAGAGATTTTATTTATTTGAAAGGCAGAATTACAGAGAGGCAGAGGCACTCTGCCTTTCAAATAAATAAATAAAATCTTTCCAAAAAATGGAGAATGTACTACTTTTGGGATTTGCAGTTCTTCACCTGAACTGTTTACTACAACCAGACTATTGAATCAGAAGCACCAGGGCTGGGACACCAACATTATTTTTTGAAAACTCCCCAGGGGATCCTGACAAGTCAGAGTTGAGAAACACAGATAATGCATGAGATCAGGACAAACATGCACTGAAGAACTGGACATTTCTTGTCATTGCCCACTGTGTGACAAAATCAGGGCAGGAAAATAGTTCTGCTTGCTGCCCCACCTCAAGTTGCAGGGACTCTTCAAGTAATTCATTGTAGATATTGAGCTGGGTGAATCTGAAAGAAGCCTAATGTATTTCATTTTACAGCATCAGAGAGTCTGAATAACGCTGTCTGCTATGGCGCAATGTGGTGGAGGGTGGATGGCCTTTGATTGAGTTTATTTGGCTTCATACCTGGGACCTATCTAAAGAGGGAGGCAGAACACTAAGGAATGGGCACTTGTACTCATGGAAATCTGAGGAAAAAAAATTATTCATCAGGAAACAACTATGATGAGTCAGAATGCAGGCTCAGCTCTTGAAGATTCCTTACCAACAGTTTGGGTGGACACAGTCAGTTTCTGTGGGGCCAGGCAAGAATTCCGAGGGCTTTGTAAGCCTTCGGTCTGGGTCACTGAAGACAAAGGTTGGGTCCGTGTCTCTCCACTCCAGTGTCCCACTCTTTTCTGACCAGGGCTTACCTGAGGAGGTAACTGTCTCCTCTCTTACCACTGCTGAGGAACGCGGTCAGGAAGTCTCCATCTTCCTAGTGTGCGCACATTCCTTAAGATGAGGGTGGCATGCTGGAAGGGAAACCAGAGTGCAATGGTTACACTCTCTAGCCCACCTACAATACTGCATGATCGGAAGCCTGAGACACGGGGGTGTTGACTGTGCCATTGCCCATCTCACAAGTACATAAGCAGAGATCGAACTCATCCAAACTCTCCTTCCTCAACAGACTTTGCCTATACCTCCCTGAGGAGCTATATTACCACCTCTTGCCCACTGGCATTTAACTTGTCTGCTAAAAAAGGACATCAACTCCCCACCCACCAAGTGAACCTCTCTGGTCAAGCCTCAGATACTTCATCTTGCCCTTTTCAGAACTGGCACTGGCCCAAAGCACAGAACACACTGGACTTAGCAAGCGCACAGCAGAAGCAGCACACGACCCCTTTCCTGCTGAGGTTAGTAACGCAGTCTCTCCCACACGTCTTTTTTTTTCCTACTGGCTATCATGAAAACCCATGGGATCCAGGCAAGAAGTGTCTTTTAAACTCATCTTCAGTGAAACACATTTGTAAGCAAAGAAAAAAGAACAATAGCTTTATTTTCCCATGATTTTTCTCTGTCAATTTCACCCTGAAAAGAGAAAATTTGACAAATAAGCATCTATTTTAGGGCTTAAGAATGTGAGATCTCATTAACACTAGATTGGTAATGCACATATTAGCTATTGGTATTTACAACATGTTTGACACTTTCCAAGGGTCCAGGAGACTTAAAGTTTGTATGAAACAATGAAGTTAAAAAGAAATGAATCTCTTTCAAAGTTTTATATTTTTTCTCCCTCTACTCAAAAAAAAAAGTCTAATGGTAACTGGAGAGGAAGACCCCTTTGGACCCAGGACAGACTTGCCTCCCAGCCAGAGCTCTAAATCACCACTGTGCAGGGGCAGCTGACTTGTCTCTGTGAGTCTTAACTTACTGGGTTTTTGTTTTATATATATATATACACACACACATATATACAGACATACATACACACACACACACACACACATACAAAGGATAGACAGACGATCATTGTACCTCTCAATGTAGCTGTGAGTTTTAAATGTAATCCTGTTTTTGGCCTTACCAATAGTTTCATTTTAAGCAGCCAGAGCACAAAGATGTTTTTCTCATATACTAATTACAGAATAAGTCTCTAAATCCCACAATATTTCATTCTTGTTGGAAAAACAAAACAAACAAACAAAAAAAAAAAACAAAACAAAAAAACAACAAAACCCAAAAACCCAACCACCAATGAAAAGCAGCCAAAATTTATATCTGACGTTAAAATATACAGTGTATCTGTTTTAATGTAATGAATCTGGCTTGGCAAACTGTTAGCTAAGCTTTCTGATCCTTCTGACCACTCTCCCATTGGCTTGCTCATGGAGGTCTCTGGAGGGGACCCTGTTGGGGTGCTGAGAAGGCATTCAAACAGGGAGAATATTGACAGCCTGCCCCTGTTAAGCAGATAATGGTTCAGTTCCTTGACTATGGCCTAGGTAGTAAGCAGATGCTGAGCATTTTTATTCTCTTTTACTTAATACCAAAATTTAAAAAAAATTTGTCCAATTCCAAATATTTTGCTTCCTATGTTCCTACCCCTTGCCATAGTTTTGAAGATCAGTGAACCCTTGTTCACTGTTCACTTGTTCTGTTGTTCACAGGGCTATTTCTGTGGGCCTTGAAAGAATCAGAAACCGGTTGTTACTTCTTTTGACTTGGCAGAAGGTGAAGAAATGAATTCTTAGGTAGGATGGAGTTTACACACACCATTTTAGAAGGTTTCTAGATGCATTATTTGGTAGGAAGAAAGTTTTCCGTCTAGAAGGGTGTAACCAGATTTGATCTGCAAAGAGTGGCAATTAACTGTCTTCTCTTTAATTTTTTAAAAACAGGATATTGTTACTTAGGTGTGTTACACTTGTGGTATTATTGGTGCTGACACCGTGCTGGTGGGATCTATATAATCACATTCTTGTGTAATGGCTAAGGTTCTTTCCTGCCTCTCGGGCTTTCTAGGCTATGTAATCTGCTTGATGGCCTGAAAATTCACTAAGTATGCAGCCCGAGCAATGAAATAGCAAAATGCACTTTGTCTAAAAATAATTCCTGTCCACAACCCAAAAGCCCCAGAAAAAAAAATGTTTAAGTTCATGAACAGTACCCTCATTTTCACGGAGCTTTGCTTGATTTCTTGAAATAGAGTTCCTCATGTGTCTTTCACTTCCCATTAGAAAGTGCTGACATTACTTCTAATGCTTTTTGTGCTCTGATTACGCTGTGTGACTTCTATAGAGCTCTTTATTTTTCCTTCCTGTTATTTTTACTTTTGAATATTTGCAGGGTGTCAGGTGTCAAACCAATGAATCCAACAGTGGCTCTTTAATCGTCTCCTGTTGGGGTGCCAAGATCTTTATAACTTCCAGCACAGAGCTCTGTGGTTTTCCAAAATTCCATTTAGTAAAGAAGGGTCTTATCTTTTGCACTGTTTTAACTGTGGCTTTCCCTGCTCCATGCTCCCCTATCCTCCTGAGAAGAAGGCTTTGGGAGAATGAAAAATGCCTCCTTGTTACCAAAATTTGAGGATCCTTTCTAGAAAAACCACAGACACCATGCTATTCTCATAAACCTTCCTGCCTTTCAAAATCTTCTATGATTTAAAAGTCTATCTTTTCTAATTTTTGAGATAACATATTTTTAATTTACATTAAAGTCAAAGGCTCAATGTTCCACTAAAGGAAGAGTTCAATAAGGGAAAAGTAGAGACCATAGTTCAGCAGGAATACAGGCAGGGGCTAAACGATAATCAAATGAAAAGATGTCCATTTCATTTCACTCAGATACATGCTCCACCTTTTATAAAGGTAGCTCATACTCTTTTATGAAAATAATTTAAACTCTCAGATCCCTAGAAACACGGCTCCTATTACACAAAAATGAGAAGTAGAAGAAATTCATATATATTTAAAATTACACAGGCACATGTAAATTTTCAGACACAAATGCTTTACTCCCAAATCATGCCACTCTTGAAAATTCTAGTTTAATGTGGAATTGTACATTTAAGTCTCATTTTTCTTTACCTGGCTCATCTGGGGACATAAAAATCAAGCATAAGGGCCTAAAAGGCTGTTTACTCTGTAGCGTTAAATAAACTAATAAAACTGAAGAGTAAAAGTTTATAAGTCATAGTCTTTTTGTTATTTTAAAATATTACTCTTAAATGTTAGGATTTAAATTTCTAATCCTACTGTAAACAGAAATATCATCTTTAACTCTAATTTTTCCATGCTCTCCCCAGTGCTAAAAGAAAAGGCTCAGAAAGGAGGCCATGACCTCTGCTTCCCCTAGCACTCCATTATTCCCTAGTTTCTGGGCCAGAAGCAAAGATCAAAGATAAGTTTGGAGGCTATACATGCAACTCTGCTTGCTTTGTATATGCAGACCCAGGAATTCAAGGATGATAGCTTGTGATGGTTAATTTTGTTAACTTGACTTGCCAAGAAGTGCCCAGAGATTTGGTTAGATGTTATTCTGGATGAGGTTAACAGTTAAAGCATTAGACTGAGTAAAGCAGATGTCCTTCCCTAGCATGGGTGGGCCTCACCCAATCAGTTGAAGGGCTGCCTAGCACAGTAAGGCAGACCCTATTCCAAGTAAGGGAGGACTCTTACTGCCTGGTTGACTTGGAATTGAGACACTGATTTTTTTCTCTCCCTTTGCATTGGAACTAAAAACGTCAGCTCTTTCTGAGTCTTGAGATTACTGTCTTCAAACTGCAATGACACTATTGGGTCTCCTGAGTCCCAGGCCCGTCTGCTCAGGTTGGAGCTTCCCCATTGGTTCTCCTGGACCTCCCGTTAGCTGTCTGCTGCAGCTCTCTGGCCAGTTAGCTAACACGGCGAGGAAGCAGGACAAGGAGGCTCACAGGAAGTGAAAGCAGAGCGGTACCTGTCCCATGCCAGGAGCCCATCCTGCGGCTGAACCTACAGCTACAGTTGTGAGATAGTAATTTTTATCACTATTCAGGCCAACCTGAATCGATATTTTCAGTTACTTGCATCCCAGAGCTTTGTAACTGATTCAGAAAGTAAGGAGAATAGGACTGAAAAGAGGAGGGGAAAAGAGAATACTTAAATGATAAAGTGGCAACACGCAGTCCCTCAGAGCCCTGTGTACCCTGGCCCTCCCCTTTTCCCCTTCACCCCCCTCTTAGATTGCTATTTAGAAAGATTACCTGAACTAATATTATTTTAGTTCCAAAAACCCTCAAGTACGATGTTGCAGGTATTTTGGATGAGTAAATGTAAAGAGGAAATGTGTACAATGTTAGGACTATAGTTACAATGTTGTATTGTAAACTGAAAATTTGCTAAGAGAATGCATTTAAGGTATTCTTACCATATATACCCCTCCACACACAGGTACATATGTGAGATAATGGATATATTCATTTACTTGACTATAGTAACCATTTCTATGTATAAATCTTTCAAAGCATTATGTTGTACACATCAAATATACATAAATAAAAATTTTCCCTAGAGCCATCAAGCAGGTTTTTTTCCATCGCATCTCATTAGCTGGAATTGGATCAGCTGTTCTGTTCTAAAGTATCTACTCAGAAGGGGAATGGAGCTAGCACAAGGAAACAGACATGACTGGCAAACTATAGTCTGTGGCTCAAATCCAGTTGCCCATGCCCTATCTTTGACTCATGAGATACAAAAAAAGTTTTTACACTTTAAAAGGGTTATTAAAAACAAAGCCAAGCAAAATTTTTTTTTAAAAATCAAAGAATATGTGATAGGAACATAGGTAGCTACAAGCCCTAAAATATTTACTATCTGGTTCTTTGAAGGAAAAGTTTGTGGCATTTGGCTAAGTAGAATGTGAGCTGTATGTAGGGCTGAATTGGAAATATGCACAGAAATTGAGACCTGTTGAAAGTAGGAAATGTGTTTTTTTGGTAGACAACCAATAGGGTCCCCAAAACTATCTCTTCTCATTCCCTCCATTTCTCTCAGATGTGAGTGGGAGCTCTCTACTGCCAACTTGAAGCACTGGCAATGAGATATGAAGTCCAAGCCCTGAAGATACCATTTCTGAGAATTTAGGTTCCCAGAAAGGAAGTATTTTCCTTCCTGAATATATTGCTTTATATGCTTACTTATAGATTTTCAGATAATAGTCCATCAGCTTTTGCTTTTCCTGGAGATCTGAACAAAGTGTTTTCAGAACACAGACATAGACACACTTTCTCAGGCACACATTTACACACATATGAGTGCATAAGGACATAGAGATACTCAGAGCTGCTCACTCAGACAACAACCAGGCATTAAACTTGGGTACACTATTAGCTTCGCTCCTACAGGGAAGAGCCAATTGGTGTCCCTGGCTCAGTTGTGGGTAAGCACAGGTTGTTTCAGGACTCACTGAGCCTGCATGTAAATAATTAGACACACGTGCTCTTTCCTGAAGGCTCTAGCATCCTACTGAGTGCAACTGGTTGTTAACTCTACCCAGAAGAAAACGAGACCCTGTAACCATGCTTTGAAAGTGCCGTCATTAGAGCATTGTTTATGGGCCTAAGAGTTCATATTGTGGATTAGAATTTGCAGACAAGAAGAGCTGAATACTAACAAGCATTCATTTTATTTAAAGCCTATTCTTGACTTTGGCATGCCATTCTGTATTCTGCAGTGCTATAAATTCTTAGAACCAACTTAGGAAATCATCATCATTACCCCCTCTGTATAGCTGGCAAAAGCAATGCTAATGAAACAGTCTGGCTGTGCCCCCAGAAACAGAGTTGAAATTTATTCTGCATGTACTTCACACACTGAGCAAGCATGTGGGTTCTCCTTGACCTTTAGTAGGACATTCAAGAAGAAGGTAAATATTACACACTTGAAGGAGATTACTTAGGTGGCAAAGTGGCTTCTATTTCTTCATTCATTCAACAAATAATTTACATGCTGCATCAAAACACACCCGGCCTACTTCTGGGTATGGAGACATACCACAGAAGAAGGTGATAGAGAACCCTGCCTTCATAAGGTTTACATTCTAGCTGGACAGAAATGAAAATGGATTTGCAGCATCTAACTGACACCAGACTGCATAATATCACCAAGAAAGTGCATGTGGACGGAAAACAGATTTCCGGGCGACACCAAGGAGCACTCCGTGTGGCGGGGGAGATGTGGAAGAAATTGAGACAGAGCCGTCAGTGAGGATGCAGGAAATCCCGGAGCGAGAGGTGCTCTGGAAACACAGTGAGACGTTTCAAAGAGGAGAAAACACACAGTTGCATCAGACACTGCCAGGCCACGTACACACAGGGTGGAGAGTAAGCCCCGAATTTTGGTTTCTTGGAGGTCATTGTTGATTTTGATGAAAGCAGTTTTTGTGGGGGGAGGGGGGAAAAGGGGATTTGATTAAATTATGTTCAAGAAAGGGCAAGAAGAGAGAAATAAATGGTGGAAGAAATCCTTGGTAAGGCAGAATTCTGAAAGGATATTATCTTTCTTTTGTTCACTTTTTTATAATATAAAAATCATGACTAGAATTGAAAGTCTGCTAGATTAAAATGTTAGTCTTCAACAATAGCTCAGAATTTTCTTGTCTTATCCTGGAATTTTACACAAAGATTATGTTAGCTAGGACACTAATTTGGCTGCTATCACAAAGGCCAGTTAAACAAGAAGGAAATTTGTTTTTCTCTTATTTAATGACCTGAGTAAAATGATTCAAGAAAATTAATGATATTGGGGATCCAAGATCCTTGCTCTGCCATGCTCCACATATGGCTTCTGTCTTGTGGTCTAAAATTGCTCCTTCACTTTTCACCCTTTCACATTCCTACAAGTAGGAACAGGAAGAGAGATGATCATATTCCTATCTTTTTAAGGGCACAACTTTTAAGTTGTATAGGACTTTCTCTCACTTCCTATTGGCTAGAATCCAGACACATAGCCTATCTACCTGCAAAGGTGATTGAGAAATGTATTCTTTGCATAATTATGTGTCCCTCTCCATTTTTCTATTACTGAAAAGCCAAAAACAGAAAATGGATGGACACTTAGAAGTTTCTGCCACTCTCATTGAAAAACAACTGAACTGTGATTAAGGACTGAACATTTTATACATGTTTTATGTAAATGTGAACACAATTCTACTCAACAAATTCTAACCTACAGTGGGATTTTAGGAGTAAATTTCAGGTTTTTCCCATTAGGAATTAGTCATTGGTTCATGCAGGTATTTTCTGTGTGACAGTGGTCACTTCCTTGTGTCTAGCTTTACCATGTAGCTACCAGTTGTATAAAATTCTAACTTCCTGAAAATATATTTGTTCACAGGATAGTATACAAAATGCCTAGTAGCAAGTTATTTCTTTAATAAAGAATAGCTTCTCTTGATTTTTGTGTCTCATTTTGAGAGTTTTCTGTTGATTCTCTCCATTGTTTCTTGATTAAGTATCCCCCAAAGAATACTTTCTAGCTTATTCTGTGAGACCCACATCATTTTAATACCAAAACTAGATAAAGATATCACAAGAGAACTACAGATCAATATCCCTTGTGAATACAAATGCAAAAAAAAACCCAACAAAATACTTTCAAACTGAAAGTAGCATTTAAGGATTATACATAAGGATCAAATGGAATTTATCCCAGGAATTCAAAGTTGGTTGAAAATACAAAAATCAAGCAACACAACGTACCTTATTAACAGAACAAAGGGTCATCTCAATAGACAGAGCAAAAGTATCTGACAAAACACAACATTCTTTCAAGTTAAAAAAATTCTTATCAAACTAGGAATAGACAGGAATTTCCTCAATCTGATAAAGGACATCTGTGAAAAATTCATAGCTAACATCTTGCTCAGTAGTGAAAGTATGAAAAATGTTTGCTGTAAGAACAAGAAAAGTATGTCTCTTTTTGCCCCTTGCAATCAATATTATACAGAATGTTTTAGCCAGGGTAAGTCATCAAGAAAAAGAAGTACGGATATCCATGTTGGAAAAGAAGAAAAAAACCTCTGCAGTTGACATATTGTTTATATAGAAAACCCTAAAGAATCCACACCACAAAAACTATAAGCACTGATTCCTAAGTTCAGCAAGAGTACAGAATGCAAGATCAATGTGAAAAACCAGCTGTATCTACTGAAAGCATAACGAGGATTGGTTGGTGCCCTTCTTCACTGAAGCACTCACTTTCTGAAGAGGGTTCAAATGAAGAAGACTCTGCCCACTGTGCAGAATTACATGTGCCTGGGTATTTCCATCCTCTCCCTGCAGCCTTTGGGGCTTTTCTGTTCAACTGCATGTTCAGAACGGAGTAGTTTAGTGCACTTCAAATGTCAGGGCCTTGGAGTACTTCCTTTGGCAAAGTATCATTTGCCTGCAATGAAATGAGAAAAACATAGTTGGAAGTAGTGAGCTTCAAAATCAGTGTAGACAACATGCCATTATTTTGGGAATATACTCCCCCTACTTTTTTGGTGTCAAATGTTCTGCCTATGAATTCATCACAGTAGTTTACAGTTGATTTTCAAAATTTAGTTATTTGATGTCATTACCTGGTAAAGTGAAAAGCTGAGTTCCCTACTGGTTAACTAATTTACCCTTGAAAGTTCATCTTGGGAAATTCAAGACCCTGGAAACCACAGATGGATGGTACATTAGCTGTGTTTACAAGGCTTTTTAGCTCTCTAGTTTCACCTTGCTGTATCTCTATTCATCTTGTAGTTTCTCTTTTTCTCTTTCGTTCGTCTATCAAGCTTGTCTCCTCGACTGTGTTATCTGATATGAACTAGAAAAAGGTGGTGGGGGAAGAAGTAGAAGACAGCCTGAAGGATCTGGGTTTGCTTTACTTGGAGTCCCAGTATCATCTCTAAAAGGAGAGTGGTTGTAATGTGAAGGGCATGGACTTTGAATATTTTTAGTGATCAAAATAGAAAGAACTAGCTTAAAATTGCTGAGCATTTGATTGAGCAACAAGAAGGAATTCATAAAATGGAGCAGTTAATTAACCTTGGAACAGCCTACTGAGATCTGGCTTCGAGTTTCTGTCTCTGGAATGCTGGCCAACTCAATTCACATCTGCCCATGATTCAAACTCTGAGGCTGGCCCTGGTAACCTCGGGAGGATTATTCCAGCTATTGGATTACAAAACATTTTGATGACCTACCCAAAACCCCCATATGATTTTCACATCAGTGTGTGCTCTTGAACTTTCCAAGTTCTCTAAGCATGGTCTATAAATCAACCCTGTCCCATGGCCTTAGAAAAATGTGCTTCAACCCATACAAATCTGACAAAGAAGAATAGCACCCATGGTATGAGTCCAAACTACTTCATTTAAAGACAACATTTTATTTTGCAATTCCAAGTACTTATTAATAAACTGTATTTTTTGAATCGTCTTAGGTTCACAGCAAAATTGAGAAGTACAGAAAGCTCTCATATACCCCATCCTCACACATGCAGAATCTCCTCCATGATCCGCACTGTGGTACATTGGTTGCAAATAATGAACCTGCATTGAGATATCATTATCGCTCAAAGGCCTTGGTTAACACTGGGATGATTCACTCTTGGTGTTATATGTTATGTGGGTTTGGACAAGTGTATCTACTGTTGGAATTACTTCATTTTTAATGTCATATTGACTTCAGTTATTTTATGAATATTTATTCAAGATGATAGACGCTGGCAAAAGTTCTGGAGAGCCTAGCATATTTTTTCCTTTATCTTCACTGTGAAATAAATAGTACTAGTATCTCAAGTTTTTTAAAACATTGGGTTTAGAATCAAAGCAGTGACTCTCTTGCTCTGAATGGCACTCTGTTTTGCAGTTTTTAAGCCAAAAAAGTTCTCTACTCTGTGTTTAGGCAAGGGTAGGGGTGAAGACCTACAGAGATTAACTACCTCGCACAAAATACTACAGTTAGGATTGGAAGTCAGGTTTTCTGACTTACAAACCATTATTCTTTCTACAGCACCAAATTATCTTCCTAAGAATTTTGCTCTTAAAAGTCAACTCTAAAGAGAAAGACTCAAGTTAGGTGAGAAAAATTACAGCCCACCTTCAAGAGCTTTTTCAGTCTTGATGAAAGATGTTATGATTTCATTTGTAGAAACTGGGCTCTGGCACTGCAGATTTCAACAAATGGTGTGTGATTAAACTCCTCGGTGTTTATAGATTCGTGAAATGTTGGAGCCTGGGGGACTTTAGAGACTCTGCAGTCTAGAAACTTCCAAGTGATTCAAACTGTAGAATTCTTTCTTCAAATGAAATCTTCCATAAAAATCCACATAAGAAGCAGTTTCAAGTGGAGCTTCTTTTTTTGAGGTGGGTACATGAGCTGGGATGGGACCTACTCCTTTCATCTTCAATACCCTGAGTGACCCAGGGACCTGTGTGAAAGCACTGACTCTGTGATGGGCAGTTTCAAAACCATAGTCCCAGTCTTTATTTATTTAAAAAAGATGCATTCATTTTATTTGAGAGGCAGAGTTACAGAGAGAGAGAACAAGAGAGCGAGAGCAAGAGCGAGATCTTCCATCCACTGGTTCACTCCCCAAATGGCTCCAACATACTGAGGCTGGGCCAGGCCAAAGCCAGGAGTTTTTTAGGGCCTCCCATGTGGGACTTTGAACAATATTTCATGAAACACAAACATATGTATATGCATGAACCTCTACACTTCTTATCACCCTTTATGCAGGAATGTTAATGTTCCACTTAGTCCTTGCTTTTCTATTTTATCTCACCATTTGTTCCTATAGAGAAAGGATTCACCCTGGCAGCAACCAGCATTACCAATCCCTGCCTCATCTTGAAGTGAGAGCTCCATGCTGTTGCTGCCGTCACCCTAGGATCTACTTTGAAAAACCATCTGGAACTTTTAAATACTCTGCACAGGAAGGGTAGATGCTATGAAACAACCCAGCTGATTCAGACATTCAATTCTTAGCAAGGGCAATTCTAGTTTTCCATGTGGTTGTGATGGTCAATTTCATGTACCAACTTGACTGAACCACAGGGTCCCAGATATTTGGTCAAACATTCTTCTGAGTGTATCTGTGAGGTGTTTCTGGATGTTACCATTTGAATTGGTGAACTGAGTCAGATAGCCCTCTCCAATGTGGACAGGCCTCATCTAACCCACTGAAGACCTCCATGGAACAAACTGACTCTCCTCAGTCACAGGGAACTGCTCCTTCTGCCTGACTGCCTTCAAACTGGACCTTCCTTTTTTCTGCCTTCACTCTTAGATGAAACATTGGCTCTTCCTATGTCTTGGGTCTGACAGCGGTTGGAGTGGAGTGATACCATTGGCTCTGCTGGCGCCCTCGACTGCTGACTACAGATCTTGGGACTTGGCCTCTCTTACCATGTGAGCCAATTTCTTATAAATCTGTTTGTGTGTGTATGCACGCGCACACACACACACACACACACACACCCTATCGGTTCTGTTTTTCTGGAGAATCATGGCTAATACACCGGTGACCAACTTGACATTTATCTGTATTTTTTAAACATTGATTTTGCTTCATTCACTGAAATTCTATTAATTACTGCCTAATTTAACAAGTATTTAAAATACATATTAAAATATAAAGAAAATATAATACAAACACACACACACAGACTTCTGGTTTGCAGTCCAGCATACTAGAAACTTAGAAGTCACTATTGCATTCTTGCAACAAGTGAAAAACTGAACACATTGAAGAGGAGGAGGGAGGGAGAGAGAGGGAGGGAGAGAGGGAGACAGAGGGAGGGAGGGAGGGAGGGAGGGAGAGAGAGAGAAGATGTTAAATGTAAAGTAAGCAGAAGAACAAAAATAATAAAAGGTAGAACATGTATCAATGAAGTTGAAAATAATAAATCAACAAAATCGAAAGCTGTTTCTTTGAAAAGATCAATTACTTCAATGTCCTTCTGCCAGGCTAACTAAGAAATAAAAGAGATAACACAAATTACTAATATGAGAAAAAGATGACATCAATACAGAGCCCATGGACATTAAAAGGCTAAGAAAGCCATTACTAACAAACTCCCACAAATTTGATAACCTAGATGAAATGGACCAATTTCTTAAAAGAAAGACTTTATGAAAGCTCATATAAGAAGCAGCAATTTGAATGAGCTTATATCTAGTAAATAAATCAAATCAATAATTAATAACATTCCAGAACAGAACAGATTGGGATGGGCTAGCAAACATTTAAGGAAGAAATGATACCCCTACTTTACATATTTTTCCAGAGGATAAACACAGAAGAAATATCTCCTAACTCCTTCTATGAGATCAACATACCCTAATAACAAAACCAAACTAAGATATTACCAGAAAAAAGACCACTATCTCATGATTATACATGCAAACACTTTCAAAATGTTATGAATCAAATCCAACAAAGTATGCAAAGATTTATACAACATGAGCGTGGGATAGTGAAGTCACGCAGGTATGCAAGACTGGTTCAATATTAAAAATCATATCATCAGGCTAAAAAAGAAAAATCACATGACCTTATCAATAGAGGCATAAAAAGCACCTGACAAAATCCACCACCCATTTGCGATTAAAAACTCAGCAAACTAGGAAGGGGAGGATTTCCTAGACTTGGTAAAGGACATTTACAAAAATTCTTTATGTTACGCTTTATGATTAAAAACTTGAAGCTTTCCTACTAAGACCAGGAACAAAGCAAGAATGTCTCCTTTATCACTATTTTCAACACCATTCTGGGAATCCTAGCTAATGCAATAAAACAAGAAAATGAAACAAAAGGCCTACATATTGAGAAGGCAAAAATGAAACTGTTTTTATGCAAGGACAACATGCCAGTCCAAGTAGAAATCTGAAAGATTTGAAAAAAAAATCCAGGAACTTATTGTAAAATGTGCTGGATACAAGGTTAATATGTAAAAGTCAACTGATTTCCTAGATACCATCAATGAGCAAGTGGAATTTGAAGTTAAAAACACATTACCATATAACATAACACCCTTCCAAAATGAAATATTTATGTATAAATATAATAAACTATCTTACAAATTCTATACTTGTAATGTTACAAAACTCAAAATATATGAGCAAAGAACTAAACAGATATTCCATGAATAGAAATATTCAATATTGTTAAGATTCCTGTTCTTTATCAACTTGACATGGATTCAACACAATCCTAATCAAAATGTCACCAAGTTACCTTGTGAATAACCACAAACTGACTCTAAATATCATATAGAGAGGCAAAAGATACAAAATAGCCAACTCAGTATTTAAGAACAAAGTCAGAGGACTGACAGTGCCTGACTTTGAGACTTACTATGAAGCTAGTGATACTGACAGAGTGAAGTAGATGAAATAACAACAAAT